ATCATTCTTTCTTTCTTTCTTTCCCTGCACGATTCTGTGTGTTACGCCAAGTGGATGCCAGCGCGCGTACGTGTGTGTGTATGTGTATGTGTGCGTGTGTTTGGTGAGTGGAGATCTGCAATTTAGCCACCGAACAGCGGAGTCTTTACTGTTCTGTCTGTTGGCTACTCAATTCAGTTCGGCAACAACATCCGCAGCAGCCGAACCATTCAATTTCAAAAGTCGTCCATCCGACCATCGCAACCCTCAAAACGCAAACGCAGACGGTAAATTCATTTTGAGTGTTGAGTTTTTATTTTAAAATATATGAAACGTGTGGGCCCTAAAAAGGGTAACAAAAAGAAATTGTTCTAAAGAAGTTTAATTAATTACATAAAAACAAACAGAAAAGGAATAAAATAATAACAAAAAATAATTGAAAATAAGAATATTTTTTATGCAAATAAAAGGTGAAATCAACAGCCACTAAAATTATAGAGTTTTTATAGTTGTGTGAATGCAGCAAAGCAAAAAAAAACAGTGTTGGAAAAAAATATTTAAATAAATAAGGAAATTCAAACGAAAAAAAAACAGCCGCAAATAATTTTTACTTTTACTTAAGTGTGTAAATATATATATATATTTAAATGTGCACTTATACATATTTACATATATGCCTATGTGACTAAATACTAAGCACATTCAGAAATCGCTATGACAAGATCAAAAACAAAAAAATCAAAATAAATAAATAAAAACTCAAATTGAATGTTCATGCTAGCGCCGAGGCTGAATTAAATTAAATTTGATTCAGAAAATACGTGCATACATACATACATACTTGCATATATTTTAAATTTTAATGAATTAAAGAAAAGCAACAAAATTTTGGGTGTTGTGAAAAAAACGGTGTAAACAAAATGTGCAATAAACGAAAGTTCTAGCCAACAAAAGTGAAAGAAATAGACCGAAAATGTCAAAAAAAAAAGAAATCCAACAAAATAAAATTAAAAGTTTTTTAGAGCGAAAAACTTTGTTTCGTTGGGAAAATATTAATTTTTCAAAGTAAAAATTAAAAACCAGACTGAAATTTTTTTTAATTATTTTTTTTTTATATTTAAACAATTTTGCTTGCTTTTAAGTGAAATAACTAATAATAATAATAATGAGAAAATTAAATCAAAATTCTTTAAAACACGTGTAAAACGTGACCAATGTGCTTTTCGTTGAAAAAAATTAAATCTTTTTTTGCTAAAATTTGAATTTCTACGAGTTAAATATAATTAAAATATAATATAAATGCAGAAATATGAAAAAAAATCGTGATGAAATTTAAAAAAAAAATTTAATTTAATTAAATAAATTCTACTTACAAATTTCTACGTTTATTCAACTTTTTAAAGAATTCAATTTATTATTTTATTTTTTTTTTTATTTCATAATTTATTTTACTAAATTTTGCAATTTTTTGAAAACAATTATATCAAATTGTGTGAAAGCAATAATTTAAATACAAAATATTCAAATAAAAGCTATGCAATATATAAAATTATTATTATTAGATTCGAAATTGTAAAATACAAATTGATTATGAAAACTGCTTCGAAATATATAAATTTGAAAAAGTGGAACATTTTTTATTGCCTAAAAAGCTTCAAAAAATATTGGCATTACATGCGTAGGATATGCGCAGGGATCTTAAAAAAATGTGAAAAGATAAGCGAATAGCATAGTGAAAACCATAAGAACTAATTATAAATAAACAACACCTTACAAAGAAAAGTGATGAAAAATTCAAGGAGTTTTAATATTTGAAAACAAACAATAATTTAAAATAGAAAATAATATCTGAAAAAACTATCTTTTAAAAAATTTTCGAAAAATGGTTTGAAAAATTAGAAAGTAAATAAAAAAAATTTTTTTGAGAATCAAAACACATAGCAAATGAACCGAAGGATAACGAGAAAAAGTTTACCCCCCAAACAAAGAGAAAACTCAAAATTCGTTCAGTCAACGATTTTAATAATGGAATTTGCACACTTCACAAAAATCCAGTAACTGTTGAAACGAAAAAAAAAATCGATCAAAATTCTAATAAAAACTTTTAAAAGCAAAAAAACCAAATTTAAAAAAAAAAACTGCACAAATCTCGTGACTAATTTTGCTGCAATTTTTACCACTAGCAAAACAACAACAACAACGTAAATGTACAAATATTTCTGCAAAGGAAAATCGTGATGCGCCAAAATGCGCGTGCGGCAGCAAGCCAAAAAATAAATAATCACAAAAAAAATTTTTTAATAAATACTGTATTCTAGGCAATATTTCATAACTGAATTGTTGCTGTTGTTGTACTAGTGCAAATTATACGAAAATACGAAAAATAATTAATTTGACGGCTAAGCAAAAAAGTGCTGCCGCATGGCATGGAATACACATGTACATACATACATATATTTGTATATTGTATGTGAATGTATGAATGGGCGAATAGTAAAATTAAACAAAAAAAAAACAAAAGTTAAATGATTAAAAAAAAAATATTAAAATAGAAATAAGAAGAACCGAAAGAATAACACACAGAGCATAAGCGTGGAAACATTTAAAGAAGAAACAAAAAAAAAAAGTTTTTTTTCTAAACACACATACATTTATATACATATGTGTATACAAATATCACTTTTAAAGTGTCAAATTTTATGTACAAGTAAAGTGAGACGCAAACGATGATATTGAAAATAAATAAATTCTTATAAAATCCAGTGCAATAAGAAATAACTGTAAAAACACTAACCAGTAGACAGCGGCAAAATGCAACTGAAATGATTATAGCGAGTGCTTAGAGCGCTGGTGAATTTGTGGAAGTTTGAAAAAAAAATTAATTTGTTTAACAGTATAAAAGTAATAATTAAAGGCCAATTTTAAAATTAAAATAAAATATATATATATATATAATATTTATCTATACCTTTTTACAATTGACATATAAAAATTTTATATTTGCATAAAAAATTAAAAAAAAAGTTTAAACGAATGCTTAATTGAAATTTTTAAACTAAAAAAATTTAATTAAAAAAAAGTATATTAAATTACACTAAATTAATTTGTTTAAAAAAGGCTTTGTAGCCGCTGAAGCGGCAACTAAGTAAAAATTTCATAAAAAATTGTAGAATTTAATCAAAAACAGTTTTTAAATTTCAAACTTCAAAGATCTTTTAAATTGTGAAATTTACTAAATATATATGAAATACTTGGAAAAAAAACACTTAGAGCAGTAATTAGAAAAATAAAACAAAAATTTGTAAGACACTCTAAAGTTTAAAGAAATAAATTTCTGGAAATATTTTTTCTAGTTTCATGTTAAGATGTTTTTATTTTAATGAATAAAATTAGTTGAAATCAAAAAAATAAATTTTATAAATAAAACTTAAATAAATAAATATTTCAGAGGAAAATATTTTGAAAAAAATTGAGAATAAATTAAAACTTAGTTTTTATGTAGTTTTTTTTAATGAATTCATTATTCAAATTTTTATATTTTTTCATTCGTTATTATTTACTTTCACCAATATTTTAATCTTATTCTTTCCCGAACCAAATTCTAATTTGCTGCATTTAAACTGACAAGAATTGAAATGGTTTCTTTATTTTATTTAAATTGCATTTTAACGGAAATTATTATTTAATTTTTTTTTTATAATTATTTGCAATATTAATTTATAAACTCTACTAGACTTAAAAAAAAAACATAAATTAAAAGTAAAAAATGTGCTAATTACAATAAAAGAAGAAACAAGAAAAGTTAAAAAATTTTGGCAGAAATTATAAACTTTATTCATATAATATGACAAATATGAAAATAAAACCAAAAGTAATATATGTATTTTCAATTAAACATTTTTTCAAAAATAATTTTACGAAAACAAATTTTAAAAAATTAATAAATACACAATTTTTATATATCATTTGTAAAGAGGTATATATATATATTATATTTATTTGTTTATTTTTTTTTAATAAAATAATGTTTGTATAAATAAAATAAATAATAAATTAATAAACATATCTATTTAATATAATAAATAAATCCTTTTAAACACAAATGTAAATATAAAATATTAAAAAAGCCAGTCGAAAAATTCGAAAACCGCATACACATTATTTTATGAAGCGCGATATACATAAAAATGTAAAAAAAATTCACAACACCAAAATGCTGTAGATTTTAAAACAAAACTAAAATTCCAACAACTCTTTTTTGTAAATTTCAAATGCCAACTAATTACTTACTAGAGACATTTTTATTTATTTTTTGATTATTTCTATATACAAAATATATATTTTTATAATAAACTTACAATAAATTTTAGTGTGTGTGGGTGTGTGTGTGTATGTTAACCAGCGAAAAGCCAATCGAAACTAATTGCATTTGTTTTGCTGCATTTCCACAACTAAAAATAATAAAAATAACCCCTTTTTTACTTTAGAGCGCAACAACAAAAACAAAAAACAATAATATAAAAGGATAAAAACTCAATTAAAAACCGAAAACTACATAGAACAACAAAAGCAACTACAATGAAGTGAACCCAAAAAAACAGGGATACTGTAAATAAAAAAGTGCTTAAAATAAGAAGAAGAAAAATTAAGAGAACAATTTGTATTAAAAAAAAGTGTTTAGAAATCAACAAAATAAAATTGTAAAAAAAATAGCAACACTGCGTGAAAATTTGAAAATGAGCAGAGAATAACCAAAATTCGGCGAAAACAAATTAAAAAAGTGTCAAATTAGAATTCCAATATTTATACAAAAATCACCATAAAATTGTAAAAAACTTTAAGCAAAGCAAAACCAGTTAAAATATAATTAATATATACAATTGTGCATAAATATTTAAAGTGAAAAGTAAATACTATACACATACATATATGCTGTGTATGTGTTTTAATAGCATAAAAATAAAAGAAATAAGAATAATAGAAAAATTTAAATTTTTATTTCGTAAAAGAAAAATTGAATATTTTTTACAACTCCACAAACAACATTTTTATGTGCCAAAAGTGTAAAATATAAAAAAAAATGGAAAAAACTTAACAAACCTATGCAAACTTGAACGCAGGATTCCATTTTATATATTCCTATGCAATAATTTTAAAATTTGTAAACGGTTTTATGCAAAATCTACAAACAGAACTACATTTTATGTATATTACTTTGTAACAACTGCATTTTTATACATTTAATGGATTTAAAAAATATACGAATTATGAATATAAAAAATTCTGAACATGTGAAATAAGTAGGAAAGCAACAATTTGTTATACATAAATACCACATACAGGTGAGTTCAAAAATAATTAATAATTTCTGTATATTTTTACGACAAATTTACATTTAAAGACATTGAAAAGTATTAAATACATTAATATAAATTTTTTTCCATATATTTATTAGTGGTTTAATATAATATTTTAACTAACTTTCTCATTTTATCCAGTTAAACTTATGTCGACTATTTTCATGTCTAAAAATTTTATATTAAATTTTGTTATACATTTTATGTTATTTTATTATGTTTTAATTAATTCATTTTTACTCTATTGTATTTAGTTCATTTTATCTTATTAGTTCTATTTTAAGTTATTTTATTTTATTTTATTTTATTTTATTTTATTTATTTTATTTTATTTTATTTTATTTTATTTTATTTTATTTTATTTTATTTTATTTTCTTTTATTTATATTTCTTTGTTTTTCTTTTATAATATAATAAAATAAAATGAAGTAAAATGAAAAAAAATATATGGAAAAATTAGTGAAATAAAAATAAAGTAAAACAACGTAAAATGAAATAAAATGAATAAATAAATAAAATAAATTAAAATAAAAGGAAATTAAAATAAAACTTTCCTTAAAATTAAAATCTTAAATTTAATTAAAATAATATTTTATTTTGTTTAATTTTACTTTATTTTATTCCATTTTATTTTATGTTATTATGTTTTTTGTATACGATAATATTTCGATTTCTGTGATTTTAATTTAATTTATTTTATTTATACATAAGGAGATCCTTTCACACCACTCAGATCATACACTTTTCCATTGCCAGTCATTAGCCGCAGTTTGTATTTTAAAATATCTGTAAATAATTTCCTAATTAAAACACCACTAAATCTTTAGAACAACAACAACAATTACAGTAAGAAATTCGCAAGAACATCGTAAATAATGCCTGTTACTGCAAGGCAAAGAACCCATTCAGGCGTATAAGTACATATTTAAATGAAATGAAATTCATCAAAATTAAGTAGGAAAATGAGTGAAAGTGCACGATTGTTTGTGAATACTAAAATATGTGTGTTTTCATACACACATACAAATGTTTTTCCCCCTTTATTCACTTTCAATGTTACTCTCACACGCAGACTCATTTGTACGAATATTTCTTTGTATGGTACAGTTATAAGGTGAGTATAATGAACTGTGCTGAAGCTTGATGGATTGCCAGCCGCATATCCTTACGTATTTAATTATATCTGGATTGTGTCTAGCACTTCCTAGTTGACAGTAAGCAGCAACAAGAACAACAACAAATAAATACACAACAAAATAGCAATAAATGTGACAAAGCGACAAAGTGTAGTGAAAAATTGCAATTAAAAAGTGCAACGAGTAAAAACAATGACCGCAAGAGGTTATGCCAGACAAGTCAACTGACGGACGAACGGAAAAATGTGTGTGACATTATATTTTTTAATTATAAAATAATAAAAGTGCATATATAAGTGCAATAATAATATGCATGATTTATGTGTGCAAACATATATTATGTATGTGAAAAATGCTATTATAAAACTTTTTCTTTTGAATGAGCGCGACGAAAGTCAATCATCCCGACAAGGCTCAGCAACCACTTAAGCCCTCCAAAAGTGTCCAGCCTGCCGGTGTACTCACCCATAAAGCACAAACCGCTTATAAACGCTCAAGAACATGTGGCGAAAATTAATTACACTGTCACATCAATCACTAGAATATTATGAGCATCAACATGAAAAGAGAAAAAGAGCGTAAATGAGACAAGACGTTAAAAAAGAATATAAATAAAATATGGGCAAATGTATTCAAAACATAAAGTTATTTTATTTTATTGCATTTTTTAATATTAATTTATTTTTTTTTTATTTATTTTAATCTATTTAATTTTATTTTATATTATTTCGTTTTTATTATTTTTTTTCTTATTTGATTTCATATAAATTTTTGGTGAGAGCTCATATTATTTAATTGTATTTAATTTATGTTTATTTTTTTTTCTTTTTATTTTTAATTTGTACTTTATTGCATTTTATTTATTTCAGGTTGAAATTTTTTTTTAGAAATTATTTAATTTATTTTAAACTTATTTTATTTTTTTAATTAAACCTTTTTTTAATGCATTTTATTTAATTTTTTATTTTAGTTGGTTTAATTTTTTTTAATTTAATCTTTTATTTTTTTTTTTTAATTTTTTTCGTTTCGTTTGTTTGCTTACTTTATTATTTTTTTTGTAGATTTTTAATTTTTTTCTATATGTATTTTTTACATTCTTTCAAATTTTATTTTATATTTAATGTTTTGATTTTACTGTATTTTTTTTTATCTCTTTTTAATCATTCTATTTTGTTTTTGTCATTTTATTCAATCATAAAAATTGAAGAAATTTAAAAAACCCATAAAAAAATTTTATATGAAAATCTGCTTGACAAATAAAGCACAATAAATAAGCCAGAAAATGCAATAAATATGCGAATTGGCGATTTATTAAAGTCACAAAACAGCAAAAACAACAAAACGTTCTTGCTGCCAACAGCCGGATGAGCTTGCGAACGAGCACCTTCATCAAGGCAAATCAAATCCGTTGACAACAATGCTGTCTGCTAAGCTTTCAAAACAGTCATACAGACACACACATGTAGTATATACTATTTACGCATGCCGGCGTTGACACTGTGACGCGCATAGGGACAATGACGCTAGGTGCGGACAGACAACCAACCACCCATCGTCTTGCGGTATTATCCTAAACGAACTGAACACACACACACACACACAACCCGCTCACCCCCTACCGTGAAGAGAACCGTTGAGATGCCAGAAAAAATTCTACCCGCAGCCAGCTTTCGGCACCTCACCTCACACCCACTTTTTTCGCATTGTTGTGACAATGTCAAATTTGAATGTAATAATTCTCTGAGTTTTCCCTGATGCCTGTCACAGTTATTGTTTATTGTTATTATTACTTTTTTATATTCCCTTCTCCTTCTGCACCACCTCTTTTCCTGTGTTCGCTGTTATTCTTGCATGCACGCAGTGCCATCTCTTGATTTATTACACCGTCAGCTCAATAACTTTGCGCGCTTTTCTGCAGAAAGAAAAATTGTCGCCTTTTATTTAAAGAAATAATTATGAATACTTTATGTGTCATTAAGTTGAATTATTCGTAAAAAACCACAGCTGGACAGCCTCGGTTAGAGGGACAGCTGGACACTTGGACACATGGACAGCTGGGTGCATGAACTGCAGCGGCCGAGACCAACAGAGGCCAGACAGGCGGGTGACAATACCCGTTGATATACTCGTATGGCATCTGTCGACCAGCTGGTGATACGTGTATGTATGTGTTGACCATTTCTCTGAAGCTATGAATTGTAAAGAAATACCGTTAAATTGGCATTGTGTTTATTTAAAATGCCACCCACTTTACACAGGAAAAACAATGGCCATGCGTGTGTTCGAAATAAGATACTCCTCCGTTACCTGCAGTTTAAGCTAAGTGTTTTCTCGCTAAGAGTACAATTTATGTATGTGTGCATGTTGCGCATTATGCAAGTACAAATACGTGTACGTGTAAAAAAATATGCATCAGCTGGTGATGGGGTTTCAACTGAGGCCATGTGAATGTACGCTAAATTAACTACAGAAGGTATAAAAGATATTTCAAAATATAATCTACTTAAAAAATATGATTTCGTTAAATGTAACTAAAAATTAAAAATATTAATATATTTATAAAAAAAAATTATTTGAACATAAAACTATATGAATTTTAATAGAATAAATTTAAAATTAAATTATGAAAAAAAAAAATTTTTTAAATATATAAAAATGTTCCTAATAAAACTTAAAAAACAAATATTTTTAGACTAAAAAAAATTAAAACTTACAAACCTGATATGAGATGAATAAGTGGAAAAAGGCTCAAAATTTACAATTACTAGAAAGAAGAATTAGAAATAAATTAATATATAATTTATTATTGGCGCTCTATAACCGCTTCAGCGATTTTTCCGCTGATATAACTTTAATACTAAAAATAATAAAAGAAAAGTACTTAAAACAATAAATACCAAAACATGAAAATGAAAACAAATAAATTAAAAATAATTTAAAATAAAATTGAGTAAAAAATTTACAAAAATTAATTGTGGACTATTAATTGGCAAAATGTTAATAAAAAAAAAATTGCAAAATTTTATTCGTACTGAATTTTTTTTTTGCGGGTGAGAAGAAAATTGCTCTACATCATCATTGTGTTGCCACATTAACGACATTTGCCACTTGCAGGTCGCTAAAAAAAAACCCTCCTCTAGGGAACCGTCGTACTGAATGAAAAATATATGATTTAAAAACTTGAAATGTTCCGAATCACAAAAAAAGAGGATATAAATTTATGAAACAAACCAATTTTTTAAAAAACTGTCTATATGAAATTGGTTAAAATTAAATATTATTTATAATAAAAATGGCAACTGCCAAAAAAAATATAAAAATTTATCCATTTCAACAACCATTAGAAAAATTGTATTAAAAAATTAAACGAAGTGAAATTGTTAAAAAATTAAAATTATTCATAATAAAAATGGCAACCTCTTACTACAAATCCAAATGGAAAATGCCACAAAAAATAAAAAAAATGAACCATTTTAATAAGCTGAAGACAATAAAATAAAAAAAATTGTATTAAAAAACTAAATAAAAAGTTGATAATAATAATAATTAAAATGAGCTATTTAATTAAATTAAAATTAAATTACAAAAAAAAACATAAAAAAATATTTATATATAGATATAAGGCTCCGTTCGGAATGACTGACAAATAGACCCAACAGTGATTATAGAGCATTGAATAAGAAAGGTTTTTCTGGGAAGTAAACCTTGAAGCGATGCTTGCGAAAAATTTGAGCTTATTTTTAAATCATTCTATTTTACTGCGAAACATTTTTTCTTTCGGAAAGTGGATTTGGGGCCGATCTATCCAACAAAGTTTTTTGCAAATGTAGGTTTTAGCCTAAATTAACA